AGTTGGAAGAGTGTAATCTACAAAATTAAAACATTTTGCTTTTCTGAAAAAAAAGAGAACTTTAGTCATTGCAGTCATATGCATCTGTGGGCTTTTGTAGTCAGGAACACAAATTCGTCAACTGAATTATGGAAACCGGACATATAATGGAAACAGAAGCTTTCGACTGCTGAAGCCTCACAGCCTGTCTCTCACCCACACAGACAGGAATCTATGATAAATGTTTAAGTGTCTCGACAGAATTGCTGGATGAACGTTTACATCCAACGGGCTCCAGTTTTATGTCATTCATCCGTTATTTTATCCCAAAAGCATTAATTTGCTTGGCATCGCAGCTCTCTGAAAGACGAACAGGAAGCTCATTTGGACATACACATGGCTATGGTACACACCACTTACATAGCTTCGTGTCAAGACCCATCAGTGCAGTGTTCCACAGCTGAAACCCAGGGCTCGGCTGAAGGTTCTGATTGTAAACAAATATGAAAGCAGACGTCTGTTTCCTTAACTGACACAAAGAGATACAGATCTTCAGTGAGTAACTGTTGGATATTAGAACATACTGTCAAATTGTTCAGCAAAGAGTGATTTATCCTTAAGGGAATCAATGAGGAAATGCAACTTTTCTTTTTTTTTCATTCTCGGAAACCCATAAATTCAATTTGTATGCCAAGAATGCCCTCTTTGTACTTCGAAAGGTGGGCCAACTATATAAATAAAATGCACAGACAATAGAACATACACATTCCCCAGACAGACAATCTAAACTTGGATTTCAGGAAAACTGGCTTTATCAACATTTCATCTCATAAAAGCCCTTTATTTTTGCAGAACGTTTGGGTTATTAATGTGTTTTTGGAAGGTCAGAAAAGGTTCTCCATTTTGAGTTCCAAGACAAATGGTTGTGGGGATCATTAGAAAAGAGTGTTTTGTTATCCACACACTCAGGATGTGTGCCAGCATACACAACTTGAAAGATGCAGAAGAAGAGTTTTGAAGACACTGGGTGGGATGATTTAACCGAAGTATTGAATCTTATGATGAGCTGACAAGAATATTAGAACTAGTGGAAAATGGAATGGCTCCTGGCCTCTTGTATTAGATTAAACAGTTTGGCTCTGTAATCCCTTTATTCACAAGAAATCTAAAGTGACAAGATTGGTCACAGTGGCTTTGTAGCTTAAAATACCTATTTTTAATCATCATTATCCAGTTTTGCAATGTCAACAACTATATTTTCATAGAACTCAAATGGTACATAGGGACATCTGTGCGAGCTTGGTATGTTTTATGATTTACATCGTCTTTGAGCTTTCCTACTTCATTCACTCAGCCAAAAATGTTCAGTAAGCATCAGTAATCAACTTCGGTCCACCATTTTATTCATGAGCTTCAATGAGCCTCCTGAATGTCACCAACATGCTCACTCAAACAAACTAAAGCAAAAGAACAAAAACCCATAAAAGTCCATTTTAGATCTTTGACAGTCTGTCTGCATGTATTACTGCTCTCTCTAGCTCGTCCTCTTAATATATGGAGTTTGGTTGCTAAAACTAACCTTTCAGGCCTAAACACGGATTCATACCAATTTCTGTAAAGAAAACCCCCTGTTTAGGCTTACACACTTCTGATTGGATGAAACCTGCTGAACATGCGGTTCAGGACCAGAACCTATTATAGTGTACGTAGTGATTAAGTTACGCACCCTTACATTTTATTATGTGAAAAAGGGCTGGGTCATTGAGATTTCACACAGTGAAAATACAGCTGGGAACTGAATTTTGTTGGCAGGTATGCCCCCGTTATATGCGTTCTTCAAGGGCTGTTTCTGCTTATATCCAATTTAACATCCCTGTTCTTGCTTACTGCCCCATTCATTACTCTGTCCCCTCCCCCCTCCAGTTCCTTGTCTCTCAGCGGGCCTGCTCGCCTTCTGCTGGTCCCTCAGTTATTCCTTTCCCTCTTGAGCCGCTCACTCCCATCTCTTGTGCCCCAGTGGTGAGGTCAGATACCTTGGGGAATAAGGACTGTACCTTCTCTGGCCACTTTCTGGTGCCGTCGCCAGACCCTCCTGTTTAGACACCTCCTTTGTATCGAATGAAGCACCGTCGGCATTTCTGGGCCTTGCTCTGTCGTGTCAGCCGCTGGAGGAAGATGACCAAGGGAACATTGTCATTCGGTTAAGCGTCGCAATAAGACGCACACACTGTCACCAGTGTGGCTCCAAGGCCTGTCACCTCCAGAAGCCCACTTGTGGAAAATGTGGATATCCAATGAAGTACAGGAGAAAGTACAACTGGAGTGCCAAGGCCAAGAGGCGCAATATCCCTGGAATAGGATGAGGCACTTGAAGGCTGTGTACCACAGGTTCAGAAACAACCCCAGAACCTAGAAGAGCTGCACTAGCAGCTTCCAGCTCCACTTAGACTGACTGTTTAAAATAAATATGCTGTTTAAAAGTGAAAAGAAAATATTACAATTACAGTACATAAGAAATGTAATGAAGGATACAGATGAGAGAGGGCTTTTCATCACATCTAGGTCCTTTAGTTCTAGCCCAGTCACCAAATGAGATCCACTGTAGACTTTCAATGCTTGTGATGCATTCCCATAATGCGGTTGTTGCTAAATTACTGTACAGTGCTCATGCACAATAGAGTACGCACCTGAGATATAAAGTGAAATGAAAAAGGAAATACACTGCCTTATGATTCTGTGCTTTTACATGTCAAGACACAAGGCTTCTGATTTTTGTGCGTAATAAATGAATAAAAACAAAATAAAATTTGTGGGAGTTATTTGTCATAATAGGTGAGATTTATCTACTGTCAGGACTTAGTGAGGACTTAGATGAATGTCAGATATGCCTTAATGTGTAAAACCATAGAACTGTAAGGGAGTGTATGTTCTTTTCTACTGTATATGTGGATTGTTGTTAAGTATTTTACTTTGAACTGATATTGACAATTCATAAACTGTATGGCACGGGTAATGTTTATACCACCTAATCCACTGCCCCACTTCCAAGTACAGCTTGCTCACTAAATATTTCAGAAATATAATAGCTTCCCATGAGAAATAATTAGTGGCCAAGCTGAACATATGTATCAAGCACTTATCTTATTCTTCCAATACACTGTCTTAACAGACTTTTTTAACTATATGATACATATATAGTTAATAGTGGTGATAGCACCAGAAATTAACAATAACAGGAATAATACTCTTTGAAATCCAGTAGGAACTACCAATTCTAAGATGCTGGCAACATGTACACATGGATATAAATTTAACACAGATAGATTCTCACTGTTTTATCACTGTAATAGACAAATAAATGACATTTAAAAGAAAACGTTAATCTTAATCCCTTTTTATCATTAAGGAAAACAAAGGAAATCTACCAAACATCAAATGCCATTTTCTGTCCTTGATGTTTGATGTAGCCAACAAAACTACATTTTTGAACATTTAGCTCAAGGTATTAAAGCATTTTTCTAAATATTTTAAGATTAAACTGTGGCATTTGCTAAGGCACATAAAAGGAGAGATGAAAATTTTAGCCCTCAAGATGTAATGTGTTTCGTTTGCCAGAACAACAATGTTTGACATTAGGCTTTTGTAGCATCTAGATTCATTCATCTAAGAGCTCAATATGGTTTCTATAATGTTTGACTGCCAAAATTTGATTCATTCCTCATTTTCATTTGTTCTCCCATTTATAAATCGAATTAAACAGTTAATAACATACTGCATACTGATAGTTTTGGTTACACATTAAAATAGGGCTACTCCGTGATTCTCTTCCCTACTCCACAATGAATCTTGTTGTACCTGAATATCTATGCCAGACCCATTCTGCTGATGGGCGATATTTTATGATTGCTACCAGATGTGTGCATTTTTCTGTCTGAGCAAGAGGTAAATCAGAAGAGGGAATTAGTCAGCCAAAACCATTACAGTTTAATTAGTGGATTACATGTAAGATCTGTTAAATATAATAGCCATATATTTGCAATATAGGTCAAACATTACTACTTCTCATTAAATCTCAGGTTGAGGATCATTTTAAGGAGAGCATGGAGAATTACACTTTGGGTTTAACTACAATTTGAATACCAGGAGGATTAACTTACTTGTCTTTTGCAGTTTTGAGATCCTGCCTTTTCACATATACTAAATTGTGCAATAGGCATCAGATATACTGACACAATTAGAGGCTGAAGTGAGAAAAACTGCTTTCTAGCCCAACCAACACCGTACAGAGAGAGAGAAAGTGTTACATTCCAATTACATGTGAATTAAAAAAATATCTTACCTTTCAGTTATATAAACATGTGCTAAACCTGAAAAATAAACTTACCTTTGCACAATTTTCCCGTTTTATTAATTTAAAGCTTGCAGCTGTGACACGTTAGTAGAAAATAATACCTATAACATACATAATCACATATTCAAAGTATGTTAATATGAATTAATGCGTTAATTAATATGAAAGAAAAATGGAAAAGCCACGATTGCACAAGTTTCCAAACCTAAATTAATTGAGTTGCACAAAATTACTTTAATGTAAAAAATGAGTCACCTCTGTGCACGACAATAGTGGTCATTCCATGACAACTGTGCACAACAGTGTTCAAAGATAATGAACTTCAAGCAAAGGTTTAACTATGAAGACCAAGGAGGTGTTTCAAATCAATTCAGGGACAAAGTTGTTTAAAGGTTCAAATATGGAGAACGGTATAAAAACACTTTAAAGACCCTTGATATCTCTATGAGCATGGTAAAGTCAATCATTAAGAAATGAAAGGTGCCCAGACACCGCATAGATCAAGCTGTCTCTCCAAACTGAGCAGCCAGACGAGGAGGTAACTGTTGAGGGTAACACTGTGAGGTCAACGGAGACTTTGAAAGAGTTATAGAATGAGGTGGCTGAGACCGGACAAAATATCCATGGAGCAACAATATCCCAGTCACTCCACAAAGGGAGCTTGCATGGAACTGACAAAAATCCCCATCTCAAATCACGCATGGGATTTGCAACAAAGCAAAGCCATACAGCAAACATGTGGCAAAGGGATTTTGTAGTCAGACAAGACAAAGTTAAACCTTTTTGGTCTATATTACATCTGCCACAAATCCAATATTGTGTATCACTCAGTCAGCACCACCCCTACTGTAAAGCATGAGGATGGCACCACTATGCTATAGTTCTGCTACTTATCAGCAGGGACTGGGAAGCTTGTCAAGACTGATGGGAACATAGATTCTGGCAAAACCTCAGAGAAGAAACCTGCCTCAGACCTAAAACTCAGACAAAAAAGTCATCTTTCAGCAGGACAATGACCTAAAGCACAGTCCCAAAGCTACACTGGGATGGCATAGGAATAAGAAATCCCCAAGCCACTCCAGAGTGCTTCAGAGTACAGAAAATCTGCCAAAACCCGTTCTCAAACATTTACACCTAGTTGATGTATAAAGTTGATAGAGACTTACTCAAAAAGACATGCGGCTATAATTGCTGCCAAAGGGGTGCTTCCACCAAATACTGAGCTCATGGGTCTGAATACTTATGCAATTGATATATTTCCATTTTTTTCTCTTTAGTACTTGCTAACATTTACTATAATGTATCTTACACTTAGAAGTCTTCAGTGCGAGCTTTGAATTAAATGTTAAGTTTGAAAAAATGTTTATGCGCCATTTTGTAATTTCACAAAATGGGAGGTCTAAGGAAGGGTTGAATACTTTTGCAAGACACTGTAAAGGGGGAAATGAAAGATCAGTATCAATCCAGTATTTCTAAACTATAGTAATGCAAAAGATGTGTTATTATCTGTCTTCTAGATACCAGTGTGTCATTAGCTGTACTCTGAATACTAAGATTATGGGCCACTGATTAAAACCATGTGCAAAACCATTTAGGACTTGGAATAGGAGGTCCTTATTTGCAGTAAGAGTTATGGGAGAATAAAACCAAACACAAAGTACAAGATAACTGATTTATTAGGATATTGCACAAAAAAGACTGACGGGATTCTTTGATTTAAAAGATGGATTAAAGGGTCTTCTTTTCTACACCTTTGTTTTGAATTATTTACTTATAGCAAACATTAAAGGGACTTAGAATCCAAGAAAACAGGAGGTGCATTTTTGCACAAAACAGTTGTGGATGTCTGGCAGCAATATGGATGTAGAGTCCTGGGATTGTTCAAGGAAAGGCTGAATACAATCCACAAATTAGGAAGCTACTTGCAGCCAAATGGACAAAGTGAGCAGTGTGACATCTAATTTTTCCCCAACCATCAGTTTTCAATCAGCATTGACAGATCATTATGAAAGACAAAAGGTTCAATCAATTTAATATTGGACCTATAATAAAAATGTAATCAATTTAATATTGGAGGGCAGGCAAGCAGTAATTCATGTATACATGACATTGAAATGCACTGTTTATTAACTGTATCTACTATGTGGATATAAAGAACACAATAATAAATATCAATGTGTCTTTTTCTGTTTTCCACATTAAGTGTGTCACTTCCAGTAAAAGGGATCTGTCAGGTAGGAGTTAATAGCTTTAACGTTCTAAACTGACTACATGCACGCTCAGCTGTTGTGTTTAAGCACAATTCAAAGTAAACTCTTTCCTTACATGTGGCATGGCTTTTGGGCTTTTTCCTGGATCTCATCCATTCCCTGATTAAGTCTGTGGGGTTTCTTCACATACAATAAATATTACTGGTCATCAGACAGGATGACTGAAGGCTTCTCAAAGCCAAAATCCAGAAAAGTTTCCAGCACTACAAATATGCACCTTCCTGCAGCTAAAAGACAGACAGGAATTGTCTTGACTGCCAGAAAATAAGTGTCATGTCCTTAAACTGCCTTGTGGAACAGCGTATAACGTCAAGAAACAGCAGTGGAGTGAATGTGCACCATTAAAGTATACTTAACACAGCCTATACCATTCCGAAGTTTCCACCCAATGTTGGCAAAGGCAAGAAAGTGGAATCTGAAGATTTATTCATTTAGGATCTATCTTCAAACCGGAACTCATTGTTAAAAATGGGCATCTCCCACGAAATTTAGCATTTTATTATCTGCCTCATCGAGAACAGATCTAAGTGAAAGGATATATCAG